GTAAATGCTATGGCCCAGGCAATGGCTGGATCCCTGGCGAGTGGAGCGGTGAGCATGAGAGATCTCACGAAGCTGTACCAATTACCTAAGAAGCCTATCGCTAGGTCCCAGCCAGGTTCCGATATAGAGGTGATGTCAGTGTAGGGGCAGGCTCTATCCCGTATAGGGAGGTGTTCTCTACAATTATATCGAAAAAACGCTCAGCGTATATGACCTTGCCCCAACTGGATCGCCTAGCGATACCCCCACCAGGGGGCAGCATCACCTCTATCGTGCCTGACTCGTACTTCCTCATCGACTGGCATCTGACTGAGGAGAGCACGGATGAAGACTATCGGTGAAATGTCGCCATCGTGTTCATGCTACTGAAATTGCCAAGACTTGATCCTGTGTATGCCATGTCACTTTTGTTGTCCTTTTGGGAACTGGTGATCAACGTGTGCTTCCCCCAATCATTCGGGACTGCCATGAGGGACTGCAAGATGAACACAATTAGGGTCCCCATTGCAGAAGTGGTAGCCATGTGTGACCCAACTGAGGACTCATTTCAGAGGCTGATGAATCAGATAGCCGCCATGATGGTTCTTCCTTTTATGTCGCAGCCAGTCATAGCCGCTCTGTTTTGCCTAACCATGCTTATGCTGGTAAAGAACCTCACATCCGACAACTATGTCGAATACTTCAAGGCCCGGATAGCATCCCTCGTGAGCACATTGGGTCTAGACGAACACCAAGAAGGAGTTCTATTTAGCCTTGGGACTCTTACACTGCCTATGTGCAACTTGATTAGGAACCGGCTCGGGAACAGGATTGAATTCCGCAGGGCTGCGTACAGTCTCATGAAATACTTTGTGAAGGACGGGGGGATGAAGTGGAAGGATGTGGGAGATATCCTCTCTGTGATGTTCTCCAACTTGGAAATGACACACCTAGCCCAGATTCAGAGATAGGTGATCAATGTAGCACCTGCTCTCCTAGTCACACCAGATGCTCGGTCTGAAATGGCCAGCGTCTGTCTAGCCATGGCTAGGCTCGTGGATTTGGGAGAAGATGCCAAGTATGCGAAGATGCTGTACTCTGCCAACCAGCTCCCTGAATTTAACCAAAAAAACATGAAGCTCATCACCACCTTCGCCAAGAAGAAGGCTGGCCGGGATATGAAGTCATTTGAACAATACGCAGCCACTGGTCCTCAAATGTTCCAGGAGGCGATAGCTAGGATGGAAGTTGCCTACGATAAGCTGAAGCATCTAGTCCAAGATGCTGAAGAATGCTTCATCAAATCCAATTATTCGGACACTGTGGCCACCATTGCACTCGGGTCCATACAAGAGCCTATCATGGATACCGCAACAGGTCTCCAAGTACTTCTGAATGACTGACGATAGATTCCGAGACCCCGATCCGAAGAAGAGTTAAGAAAAGAAAAAAAAACGTTGAGTTTTACATAACAATCTGTCAAAATTCGTACTTTTAATGAAAACCGTTACCGAACTGCAGAAGTTTCATTCTTCTAATTTTAGAGTAGTAAGACCCCGACAAATGGTTCGAGTATGTCCAATTTTGGGCCAAGAAGGCCATGTTCCCCTAAACCCTCCCCTTAACTCGTCTCGGATGTCAGCGCCGCAGGCCTAGCTATATGTGCGCCAGGCGCGTCGCAGCGTAACAGTGTTTCGTGAGATATCGCGAAGCCTGTTACGCGAGACGTGGTCTGGCGTACATATAGGTAGTTTTAGCTCTGCGGAACTCGTCCTGCAAAGTTTGATCTGTGTACGATGAGAAGTAGCAAAACTGATTTTTTGAATGACTTACGTGCTTTCCGACGTACTTGCACACGTAAATTATTCAAAAAATCAGTTTCGTTCCTTCTCATTGTACACACATCAAACTTTGAAGGACGAGTTCCGCAGCTCTTAAACTAAGAGAAACACATTACATTTGACCA